TGAGCCCCTGCACCCCCCATCCACACCCCGGTCCTGCCCGACCCTCATGGGCACATCTCTGCAGATCCTCGAGAAGGGCAGCCCGTACCCGCTGATCATCCTGCCCCAGTTCGGGGGCTACTGGATCGAAGACCCTGAAAACCTCGGCACGCCCACCTCGTCCGACAGCAGCATCTGCGAGGAGGAGGAGGAGAACCTCAGCCCCAGCACCTATGGCTACAAGCTGGAGTGCAAAGGAGAGGCCAGAGCCTACAGAAAGCATTTCCTGGGGAAGGTGGGTGCCCCCGCTGCGAGGGGCAATTGGTTGGGTGAAAATGACACACACCCCCCCTCCGCCAAGGAAGGCTCTGGGTGGGGATGCTGGCTCTGAGCCTGCCCCGTCTGCTCGGTGGGGCCCCCGGCGTGGCAGCCGCCTGCCTGCCCTCTTGCTCGCAGTCTTGTAATCCTCTTTCTCCCTCTGCACAAAGCCGAGAGCAGAGTGCTAAAGTCCACGGGCAGAGGGATTAAAGCCCTGGTCCCAGCGAGGAGGGGGTGTGAGTGTGTGTCCCCGAGGGGCAGGAGGGTGTCGGGGTGGCAGGCGAGCCCCCTGCTCCCGGCCCGGCGTGGCAGCCGCCTGCCTGCCCTCTTGCTCGCAGTCTTGTAATCCTCTTTCTCCCTCTGCACAAAGCCGAGAGCAGAGTGCTAAAGTCCACGGGCAGAGGGATTAAAGCCCTGGTCCCAGCGAGGAGGGGGTGTGAGTGTGTGTCCCCGAGGGGCAGGAGGGTGTCGGGGTGGCAGGCGAGCCCCCTGCTCCCGGCCGGGGCACAGGGCAGCATCCTTGCCATCAGTGAGCTGCCTCCCCCACTGCTAACGCGCTGTTTTCTGTTTTCAGGATCATTTGAATTTTTATTGCACAGCCAGCAGCCTTGGAAATCTGATCCTTTCTATTAAGTGTGAGGAGGCAGATGGCACTGAATATTTAAGGATTATACTCAGGTACGGGAAAAAAAGCTTTGTTTAACAAAATATTTTCTCTTTGGGAGTCTCTTGTTTTGTTTTTACAGTAAATGCCACAGCCGGGCTGGCAGCACGCTGGCTGTCACACAGGGAGGGGCACGGGGTGGGATGGGAAGCAGCGGCATCATCCTTTTACTGTTCCTGCTTTGGGACTGCCTGACCCCCGATAATGAACACAAGACTTTGATCCGTTGCTAAACCTGCTGAAACTGTGTGTAAACCTCTCCGTGACATGGGATAATACCAGTCACATCTATCGCCATCCCTCTGTAAGCTGACAAGACCCAGCGCGTCTGAACCGTTGTGTCGTTTCCCTCCAAACTATGAATATTTTAAGAGCTGCAGAGATGAAAAGAAAAATCGAGCCCTTGCTTACTAACCAGGCCCAACAAATTCTGCAGAACATTGTTTCCCGACAGCCGGCGGAGCATCACTGCGTGCACGCTGCAGAGCTGGCGAGTCGGGGGCTACAGCCGGCCTCTCTTTGCCTTAGACACTCCCTGATGCCTGCTCATCTCTTTTCGTTTGCTAGGTCCAAAGTGAAGACGTTGCATGAAAGGATCCCCCTGGCAGGGTTCAGCAAGCTCCCTAGTATCCCCCAGATTGCAAAGGTAGAGTAACAGGCTGGGCCAGGATACCTGCAGCAAAGCCTGTGCTGCTGCGCCTCTGCCTTGGGCGGCGCTGGGCGGCGCTGGGCGGTGTTGGGTGGTGTTGATGGTGTTGGGTGGCGTTGGATGGCGTTGAGCAGCAGTGCTTGGGCTCTTCGGTCCAGGGGCACTTGGCAGGTGGTGGTATGCACTGGCCCTGCTGTTGGTTTCCCGCTGATCCCGGGCAGGTCACTGGTTGATATCTGGGAGAAGAGGCGAGGAAACGGCAGCACCTTTGACCCATGGAGAGACCTGGGACTTTCCTTGCTGCATCTTCAGTGGGGTACCAGCCAGGCTGGGGGCACCCCAAAGAGAGGATGTGAAGAGGGGAGCTCCTGCAATTAGAGGCTGGATTCTGCTCCTTTATAAGATGTTCACAGTCTTGCCTTGGAGTTTCGACAGGACAGGGGTGTCTGCTTGGCATTCCCAGGGACCTGGCACTGACTGCTCTCTCCCCTTGCCCACAGGCCTTCTGCGACGATGCCTCCGGGCTGAAGTTTAACCCAGTTCTGTACCCTAAGGTGAGGTCACTTACCCCAAGTCGGTCGCATATTCGGCAGAGAAGGTCAGGTAGGGTTAATTTTCCCCTTTTCTCTAAGATCCAACGGCTACTTTGATCGAGAGCGTGGATATCTGTACTGCATCTTTCTAGCTCTCTACGTTTGTACCCGGCTGCAAAGGGGTGTGTGTGGCGGTGGCAGGCTGTGCCAGCGACTGGGCAGCAGGTTAGCTCACGGCCATCTGCTGGCACGTGTGTGTCACCGTCTTGTTCTGTCAGCTGGCCAGCAAGGATTGGTGGCGCTTTGGTATTATTCTGCCCTTGGATCATGGGGAAGGAGGGAAAGGCGATGGCCTGTGGCGTGTAAAACGAACCTGGATCTTGGTTTGATGGCTTAGGGTTTGCTTGAAACCTGGCATGATGGGTTGAGCCTGTGCTTGAGAAGCCCTGGAGGAAGAGAGCAGAGGTGGGTGGGTCACTGCAGGAGATGGAGTGTTTTATCTGGGTGGCAGTCCCCGCTGGTGATGTGCCCGGACTGACTCGTTGCCCACTCTGGGATCACTTCTCCTCGTGTGTGCCCTTGTGCTGCCACAGAGACCCGCTCCCGGGAAGTCCATCATTTTCGGGTACCTTCTATCTGGAAGACCTTTTCTGTGGCAGGCACAGCAGTAAGTTTTAAGGCAGTTTCACCGCCCTTTGATGTAGCCAGGGTCAAACCAATTTTGTTCATCCATTGTCATTGCTGGTGTTACACTCAAACCTTTACCGGGAAGTTTGAGAACAGCCGATGCCCAGTCAAGGAAGATGAACATCTCTGACTCGGTCCCTGCAGTGGGGCTGGGACTGTGGAGCTGGGGCGCTGCAGGAATTGCCGTTATTTGCACCCAAAGGGCCCCAAACTTCCCCCAGAAAACCTGTGAGAGATTGGGGCTCCCCACACCCCCCCGCCACGCCTGGGTGCTGGGACCCCAGCTCATGCCCTCCCGAAGCCCACGGGCATCCAGGCAGACTGTTGGTGGTGGAGGCTGCAGGGACACTGATAAACAAAACTGGGGCCACTGTTGAAAACTTTTGGCCTAATTATGTGGAAATCTGGCTTCTGCCCCTCTTCTGGTCCCCTGGGCGCTGCCCGGCCATTGCCGTACCCCGCTGCAGCTCCGGTGGGCTCTCCCCGCCTGCCTGCCATGAGGACACGGGCATCCAGGCAGACTGTTGGTGGTGGAGGCTGCAGGGACACTGATAAACAAAACTGGGGCCACTGTTGAAAACTTTTGGCCTAATTATGTGGAAATCTGGCTTCTGCCCCTCTTCTGGTCCCCTGGGCGCTGCCCGGCCATTGCCGTACCCCGCTGCAGCTCCGGTGGGCTCTCCCCGCCTGCCTGCCATGAGGAGCCATACCGCAGCCGGCGGCGATGGCGAGCGTGCCGAGCGGAGCTGTGAGCCCGGCCGGCAGCGCTTGCTCTTCTGGACGTCGCGTTTTGAACTACCAAATGAAATGATTTGTATTTTGGTTTACTGCAGGCATCCCAGATGATAGTGTCTTACGATGAGCATGAGGTCAACAACACGTTCAAGTTCGGTGTGATCTATCAGAAGTTCAGGCAGGTGAGTAATCCTGGCGCTGTTCTCGTAGAGCACGTCCCCGCTTGCCAGGGGTCTGCGTTTCACAAGTGCAAATTCGGCCCCGTGGTTAATTCTGTCACATGCAACACGTGTTACTGGTGTCCTCACTAATAACGTGTTTCTTACTGCTGGGATGTTTCCGCGACTCATTAAAAAATGATGTGACTGAAAAAATTCAGTATGGAAATCAGCCCACAAGCTGCTGTAGTGAAAAGCGGATGTGAAAATGGATTTTAGCAGGCACGGTATTTTAATCAGCTATATGTTTAGACAGTGAAACAGTTACATTTGTCTTGGAGGACTGTGGGCTATGAAGACACGCGTTTGCTGAAAATGCTGTCATTAGCTGAGGGACTCCGGATGGGGAGCGCGGAGGCAGCTGAGTCTTGTAATTCACCAAAGATTATTCTGACAGGCGCTTTAATTATCTTTACATATTGGGTTTTATTTTGGATTGAGTAACTCACACAAGACCATCATTAAGGTCTCTTTGTTTTGGAATGCAGCATGCGAGGGATGATTAACGGTTGGGTTTTCCAATGGAGAATTCATTTGTGTTTTGGTGTTTCCTGAACGTTGCCTGCAGGTCCGTGCTGTTGGTCAGAAGTCGCCCTCAGCAGCGTTACCTTCGGGTGCCTCCGTGGCTGAGCGGGCTGTGAGCGGCCCACGGCCAGTGCCGGTGGTGCCAGCTGGGGAGCGGAGGCAGGGAGCAGCCTGCGGCTGTGCGCAGCGCCCCGGGACGAGGGGCTGGTCCCGTCCCTGGGGACCCTGCAGATGGGGCAGGAGTTGGGCAGGAGTCGGGCAGGCAGAGAGGGATGGCCTGAGCAGAAACCACCATCAGAGCTGGGGCAGGACGGGTTCCTTTCTCTGTCGCTGTGGCACTTCTGTGCTGATAGCGCGGTTTGGTTCTAAGATGCTCAGAGCAGGGTGACCTGCAGAAGGGCATTTTGGAGGGACCTTTCATGTTAGCGGTGTCCTTAGTCACCCGTAGCGCGACAGACGAGCAGTGCCCGGAGGTCCCCGAGGGCACAGGGCGGCCTCTGGGGACGATGGCTTTGGTCACGCTCGGCTCAGGCAGCGCGGGGACCTCTGCGGCTCTGTCAGCCCGACGTCGCGGTGGCAGGGCCATTGCCAGACCCTCCCCCTTTCCCCGGGAGCCGGTGTCGGCGGGCGCTGTGCAGCCTGGGTGGGCTGGCTGCTGGAAACAGGCAGGGCTGGGGCTCTCAAAAGGTGCACCCTGCATTTTGTAGACCCAAGAGGAGGAGCTGTTCGGCAATAATGAAGAGAGCACTGCCTTCAAGAACTTCTTAAGTTTTCTGGGAGACACCATAACACTCCAGGACTTCAAAGGGTAAGTTAAATTAAAAGAATGATTTTACAAATACATTTAACGAGACCATGTCATATGTAAAAATATCTACCGTGCAAGAACAGAAGTCATCTCGCTCATGAGCGGGAGGTACAGAGCAGAAGCAAATATAGCTTTGGCTTGTTTTTCAAAGCTGGGGGAGTTCACGCTTTAAAAAAAAAAAAAAAAAAAAAAAGGAACTGCCAAGAGAGAAAAACTTCCTTTCCTGCACTTTTGAGGTTGTGAGAAAATCAGGCTATATTGAGCCACAGATGAGGGGAACTTTGTATGGAAACGCGCCCCGCCCAGAGTCGCGGGCTCAGCGGCGGCGTGCCTGCAGGGTGATCGCTGCAGCGGCCACGGTGCGGGCAGAGACCCCCTGCTGCTGGGGAGGGCCGGGGGCTGGCAGGGACGGGAGCCCACCATGGGCTTTTTTTTCCGGTCCCACGGCTGGTGCCTGCAGCTGTGGTCAGCCCCAGCCGACCGGCGCTGCTCTGCCGCACACCCTGAACCTCAGACCGGCGACGGCGATGCCTGGTTACAATACGTGACGCACGGTTTGTTCTTTCCCGTTTGCTCGCTACTAGATAAAGATAAATGAGCTGGTTTGTTCTATCACCCTGTCCCCCGACAGCTGCCGGCAGCCTGCTAAGCTTTCAATTAATATTTCTTCGTTTCTCCCCGCCTTTCCCTTCATCTCCAGTTTTCGAGGAGGTCTGGATGTCAGCCACGGGCAGACGGGAGCAGAGTCTGTGTACACGGTGTTCAGGGAGAGGGAGATAATGTTTCACGTCTCTACGAAGCTGCCTTATACCGAAGGAGACACACAACAAGTAAGAGAGATGAGCTTCTTTGCACAGAAGTGTCTGAGCCGGGATGTGCCGGCGCTGCCGAGGCCCAGCGCCGCGGCACTCGGCTGTGGCACGGGCAGCGGCTCCGTGGGCTCCCCGGCGTGCAGCAGCCTGCACGCCCGGAGCTGGCGTTTGCTCCCAGGGGAGCAGAACCGCCTGGCCTTACTGACCAGACGTTTTCCCGTTCCGCTTAGCTCCAGAGGAAGAGGCACATTGGCAATGACATCGTAGCGATTATCTTCCAAGAAGAGAACACGCCGTTTGTCCCAGACATGATCGCCTCCAACTTCTTGCACGCCTACATCGTGGTGCAGGTGGAGAACGCCGAGGCAGATAACACGGCGTACAAGGTGAGGGGAGTCGCGACTTGCACGTGCCCATTTTTGCTTCGGCACCTCCGGCTGAGGACTGGGGGTGGCCGCGCCGCGCCTGCCCTGCCCGTGTGCTCAGTGGTGCAGCCAGCGTTACCCTGAACTGGCATGTGTGTGTGTGTGTTAAACATCCATACATATATATACACACACACAGGGGTATATTTATGTGTGCACTGTTAGATAGTGTGTGTGTATGCGTACATACGTGTATAAAATATGTGCATGTATCATAGCGTGCTCATTTGCTAAAGGCTTTTGATGCTACTCAGTATTTGAATAAGCCTCAGAACAGCTCGTTCCTGTCTAACACATCGCTGAAGTGTAGGTAGCATAAACCCTGTTACCTCTCTGTTTTCTAGAAGAGATCCAGAGCCACAAGTGAAAACAATGCACAGGATGTAAACGTAAAAAGCTGTGCGTGGTTAACCCTCTCATGAAAGCGGGAGTGATGACTGATGGGGGCTGGAGGGGAGCGGTCTCGCTGGCAGGCGAGGGCTCTGGGATGCCCTCAGGCACTGGGGCATCTCTGCAGAGCTGGGCTGGGGAGACCATCGCCCGCCCCACGCTGGCTGCCCTCCAGGAGAGGGTTGTCTGCACCGGGGCTGCCCTGCTGCCCCCAGGGGAATAACGCTTCTCCTGGCTCCGCAGGTGTCGGTCACGGCCCGGGAAGACGTCCCCTCCTTCGGCCCGCCCCTGCCGAGCCCACCAGTATTCCAGAAGGTAAGAGCTGGGACGGGAAGCATGTTCCAGCCAGACGTGTATGTCCGAGGTGTTTCCAAGCACCATCGCACAGCATAACGCATGCAAGGCAGCAGCTGCCGGGGCACCCGTGCCCACCAATGCTCCCACGTCTGGAGGGGGCTGCAAGGTGCTGTGAGCTCGGGTTTTGGGTCAGTACAGCTCCAGTACCAGAGGTACACAGAGTCTTATGACGGTGGGTGTTTTCCATCTTGGCTCTCTCCCCACCAGAGCCCCGAGTTCCGGGAGT